TGCTCTACTATTGCATTGAGCTCTCTCTTAAATTGAATGTTACGAACGTCGGAATTTGATTCGATTTGTTCTCATTTCATATATATATATATATATATATATATATATATATATATATATATAACTTTTATTTTAAAAGTATTTACATAAAACATGGAAAACAATGAACGTGAAAAACTGTTACTGTTTTAGTGATTTCTTCTGCTTTAAATGTCCGTTGTGCCAGTTTTAATAAAACAGAAATGGAAAACGTTTATTAATTCCAAGGATGAACCAAAGTTCAAATAAAAATATATCTTAGTCCCAAAATATATTGAATAAGAAAAAAGGCAATGTTTAATCAATTCTTGATGGTATCATGAAAGCGCATTTTAAAAATAATGCCAAAATTATTGTTTATTTTATTTATCATTGAAGATGGAAGAAAAGAAGCAATGCCTTTAGGATTCTACGCTTTCTTATTTTAAAATAGTAAAAATGCAACTCAAATATCTGTGCAGTCAATAACTGAAGGCATCAAAAGTGTTTTGCGAGGTTTCAGTAAACTTCACAATCGTGTAGACCTGTTGCGGTTGATAGCGATAAAACAGACATTATTTGAGAATATAGGAGGCGGGAAATAATCACTATTCGCGAACTATATTAACCAAGCACTGAAAATGACTTTTATATTAGAAGCTTTTAAGGAAAAAGAAAAAAACGTCTCATCTCTGTTTGGAATTGCCACCTTTAACGTAAAAATAATATTCCATTTTTGAAAGAAATTGTGACTGGGAAGGAAAAACAGATACTTTACAACAATGTGAAGAACATGAGAACGTGAGATCACGCGAAAGGAAATAGTTATGACGTTATGCATGTTAAAAGAGAGGAGGTTATAATTTCATCTTCTCGAAACTGTTTATCATTCTTAGTAAATAGCTGTTCCAGTAGTCTCTTTCTGGAATCAATTACACTCTTGCCATATACCCAGGTATTAGCATCTTTGGATAAGGATCAGCTTTTGGTACGATTAGTTGGGGTTCATTTCACGTGCCCACACGATCTATAGCCTTCCGAACTATTTTTACATTATCTACTTATCACTTCTAGGCAAAATCTGCTTCAAAAGTGAAACATTTATAGTTGCGTTCAAGGAATTTAGAATAATGATGTCAGAAAGTCATGTAATGAAATGGGAAATAATTTGTAATATAAAAATCTTAAATATGCTATTTATTAATATTTAATTAATTGAACGTAGTTTTACTCTCTTTCTCTCAAATCTACAAATCGGCCATTCGCCCTTGAATGGAGTATTGCTGCCATATATGGTCTGGTGCTTATGTTTGTCTCAAGGTTCTTGATAAGATCCAGAGACGGATATGCAACGTAATTGGCCCTGATCTGGCATTTCGTCTGCAGCCGCTCTCTCACAGACGTGCTGTTGCCGCCCTCTGTCTTTTTTACAAATACTTTCATGGTAACTGCCCCGAGAAGCTGCTTTCGCTGGTTCCCAGACTCCATAAATTTAAGCGTTCTACTAGGCTGGCATCTCGCTCACACCCTTTCACTGTCGAAACTGTTAGGTGTAGCCGTCTCTTCTACTCCAATAGCTTCATGTCTCGCACCTCTCGCCTGCGGAACTCCCTCCTCTCTTCCTGTTTCCCTGATAGCTATAATCTCCAACTATTCAAATGTAATGTCAATCGACGTCTCCAGATGCCCTGATCTATCCCCTATCCTTCTCTTCATCCTTTCCTCTATCACTCCTCTTTGCTCTCGCTCCAACTCTCTGTAACCCCTTGCGTGCTAGTGATTTCCCGCCTTGCTTGGGGTGAAACGCTTAAAAAACACTTCTCCAAACACACACACACAGACACACGCACCCCATATGGGTTTCACGCTTTTGCGATCGTCAGACAAACTGATTCATTTTTTAAAATTTTGGATTTATGTAGATTGCATGTATTAGTGTTGGATATGCTAACGCAAACATAGATGCATGTCCGTATATATGTTGTTGTTGCAGACACATTTTACACACTCACTCGTCCTTGGGGCTCATATATTATATATATGTATATATGTGTGTAGGGGGTATATATATATATATATATATATATATATATATATATATATATATATGCAGACACGCACACATGTATATATATGTGTGTGTGCATATATATATATATATATATATATATATATATATATGTATATATATACATATACGCACCCCGTAGACACATACATACATACATATATATATATATATATGTGTGTGTGTGTGTGTGTGAAGGTGGTGTTATACGAACGCATTTATAATCCAATCACAGAGCTTCGTTGTTCGTGGCTGACTTTCATTTTTTTACATTATTATTATTATTATTTCTGTTTTATTTTTTTTTAGTTTTGTTGATTTCGTGACTTATCTTCGTTTTCAGTCCGTGACTTCCAACCCAATGGGAACATAGCTATTCCCACCACAACAGTTCGTCGACTGTCCTCTGGAGTAAATCAGAGCACATGAGTCGAAAAATTTGCAAGAAATCACACTTGCTATTTCCTCTTCATTCATAAGAGCAGGGTCACACAGAGTTCTCTGTATCGACATCGTCCTACGACATATGGCACTTACACAAAAGTGATACTGTTGTTTTTTTTACATACACGCACGCTCACGCGCGTACGTATATACATATATATATATATATGTGTGTGTGTGTGTGTGTGTATTTCTGTGTGTGTCTGTGTGTATAAATGCAAGTCTGTATAGGTTAAAGAGAAATCGGTGAGTTCGAATTACAGTCGAGTCCGTCATATATATATATAATATAATATAATATAAATGGCTCAAACACTAATATTCCATGGTTATAATTTATTACATTGGAATCGTAATCACGATCAATTCATCAGATTTTTTTTTCAATTTGTAGATCTGATGAATTGGAGCTTTTTTTTATTATATTCTTACACTGTCCAGGACATTGAGTTCTAACTGGATTCTATCCTCTTTGAAATTTATATATATATATATATATATATATATATATATATATATATATATATATATATATATATATGATATTCTAAATATTATATATATATATATATATATATATATATATATATATATATATATATATTATAATAAAGAGAAAGAACAGTAAGATATATAATGCGCTGTGTAAAAACTCAAAATAATAAGAAAAGATATAAAACTCAGTAAATTTCAAAATAAGTTATTCCAAAAATTCCAAAATAAGTTATACCAAAATTCACTTGAAAATGAAACAAGACTAGGGACTTTAATTTAATTCTATAATTGAATTTGAATTTTTTAGTTTCTGTTTTTGAAACATGGTAATTCCTGTGTAACGATGTAACCATATTTTTTAAATTTGTAAATTTATAATATATATATATATATATATATATATATATATATATATATATATATATATATATATATTATGCATTTTACAAACGGACAAAAACAATTACTCACTACTGTTTTCTATCTGCATGTAAAATTTATAATAAATAATTATTGCTCTACTCTTGGTATTGAGCCCACTTTTGAATTAATGCTGTGAACGTTAGAATTTATATTATTTTCGTTCTCATTACATTTGGATGGTTGTATATATATATATATATATATATATATATATATGGCGCATGCGTGTGCATATAGACAATAATGTTGATTTAATGTTTCAAATATGCATGACTATTCGAATTTCTATACGAAAGTATTTATTACTATATTTACCTAAATGTATATATCTATGTATGTGTATAGGTATGTAATTAATGATTTCTTTAAACTTTTAATATTATTCATTAAATTATAATGTCAAAATCGATTAATTTTCCTATAAAAAGTTCAATACACTTGATATATATTTGGAACTATAAATCAACGACCAATCTCTGTAAATTTGCTCCCAAAACGTTGTCATCTTGTTTGTTCATTCGATTACATTTTTTGAAATGCTTAAAGCAAAATTTATATTTTAGCTACTTAATACGTTTTTGGCATTAAGTCATTCACTGAATCCAATGAAAGCCCGGGTGTCGTTTTGTTAATAAAATCACTTGTACGTGAATTGTGTTGATTTTTATTTTAATTGAAACTAAATATTTCCAGACTTGTCATTTCTTATTTGGTCAATCAACTGATGTCACTTGTTGGTACTTGTTCACTGGTTAACCTCCACGTTAAAAAATTGTCCCCGCTAAAGTATATACAATGTGAATAGTCTACGAGACTTCAACCTGGTGCAAGTTAAAATATAGCAGGTCTCGTTGATAACATATACTATCTTTTCTTACAATTTCTAACTTTCGTGATTTGGTTTTGCGTATGAGTCAAAATTAAAGTTTTTTTTTTTTTTTCATTTTTGCAGGAAATGTACGAGACAATAAGATTAAAAAGTCCTCAGTTATTAAAAAAAATACAACTTCTCATTCGGTTTATATAAAAAATTGCAATTTCAAAACATTGCAATAAAGCCCCAATTTCTAGCGACTTAATCGTTCGCTTAATTTTGAATATTAACTTTTTTTTTAAATTTTTTTCCATTTCTCTTTTCAGGTGTTTGTTCAGTGCATGGAAGTAGCCGGTTTTGTGACCGGAAAATCTTTGACTAAAACCACCACCTTGGAGGTTCATTGAGTTTGAGCTTTTAATTTAAAGGGGAAAGGAAAAAATACGCCTGGCTCCAAAACGCTATGCTTTGACGTTTCTTGTCATGTGGTAGAAACTGACCATTGAGAAGGACGATTACAAACTTGAGAATTAAATTTACTTTCCGAGAAGAAAAAAAAGAACAGTGAGATCAAAAACTCAAAAGTAAGAACGACATTTAACAACAATTTAAAAGAAGTAAACAAATGATCTAAAAACGGTTGCGAGAGAAGAAAAAAAATATGATTCTTGAATCCATCTTAGTTGCTTTTCAGCAGCTGAACTTGAATTGGTAGAATGGTTAATGGAATCTTTTAAAATGTCTGATTCCGATAATCGTGTTATTCTGAATGTGGGTGGCATTCGCCACGAAACTTACAAAGCTACTCTCAAGAAAATTCCAGCTACACGTTTGTCACGTCTGACGGAAGCGTTGGCAAACTATGATCCAGTTCTAAATGAATATTTCTTCGACAGACATCCGGGCGTCTTCGCCCAGATCCTCAATTATTACCGCACGGGAAAACTGCACTATCCCACTGATGTGTGCGGACCCCTATTTGAGGAAGAATTAGAATTTTGGGGTCTTGACTCCAACCAAGTGGAACCCTGTTGCTGGATGACTTACACTCAGCACAGAGACACACAAGATGTACTCACTATCTTGGATCGACTGGATCTAGATACCGACAAACCGACAGAAGAGGATATTATGAAGAAATTCGGATTGGAGGATAGGTATAAGGCTGGAGATCTCAATTGTTGGCAAAGAGTTCAACCCAAGATTTGGGCTCTCTTCGACGAGCCATATTCTTCGACACCTGCAAAGGTAAGAAGTTTTACTCACTTTTTTTGTTCTTTACAAGAACGGATATTTAAAAAAAAAAAAAAAAAGTAAATTTCGATATCCATATACAGGATGTACCTAATATCAGGACACCCTAGACAAAAAATGCATATTTTTAAGAAAATAGATTTTAAACAACATTTTATTGAATTGGAATATTAACAAATAACATCTTCAATATGATTTCCGTCATTTTTTTTTAAGCATATCACCCCAAACAAGGCGGGAATGCCTCTCGCACGCAAAATGTTACAGAGAGTGAGAGCAAGAGTAAAGAGGGGTGTTTGAGGAATGGATCACGATCAAGGCATAAGAAGATGTCGATTGGCATTACATTTGAATATTTGATGATTATAGCTATCAAGGAAGCAAGTGGGAGGAAGGGAGTTCCCATATCTGTCCCATAATGATTGTTCCATTTACATACAAATGTCATAGACTAAATGGAACAATCATTATGGGACAGAGGTAGAATAATATAGAAGAATGGCTAATTTAATAATCAGATTAAATTGAAGAGGAGAGGAAAGATTTTCTTTTTAAAGCATTTCACTCCAAACAAGGCGGGGGTGCCACTAGCACGCAAGAGGTTACAGAGAGTGAGAGCAAGAGTAAAGAGGGTTGTTTCAGGAAAGGGTAAAGAGAAGGAGGGAGATCAAGATCATAGCATCAGAAGGTGTCGATTGACATTGCATTTGAATCATTTACGACTGTATCTATCAGGGAAGCAAGTAAGAGGAAAGGAGTTCCACTGTCGGGAAGGGTAAGATAAGAAGCTATTAGAATAGAAGAGACGGCTATATCTAACTGTTTCGACAGTGAAAGGGTGGGACCGAGATCAGTTGGGGTACCAGTGAAAGTATCTCGTCAGAGCAGTTGCCATGAAAATACTTGTAGAAAAGAGGGAAGCAACAGCACGTCTGTGAGAAAATGACTGTAGACGAGTTGCCAGATCAGGACCTATCACATTGCATATCCGTATCTGGATTTTGTCGAGGACCTCAAGATTAACAGCCGGGGCCCCAAACCATATATGGCAGCAGTATTCAATGCAAGGACGAATGATTGATTTGTAGATTTGAAGGATGGACAGGCGACAAAAAACTTTCTGGCGCGACACAGAGAACCAACTTTCCTTGCGGGAGATGAAGCTATTGATTCAATAAAGATTGATGCACTTTGCAAAATTCACGTGGACTGGATGCAATATCTCCACACTGCCCTCAATTTTGGCACATTCACTCTTTATGCGTCAATCAAGTGTGTTGCATCTGTGATTTTCATTGAGTACACCTTCTTCTTTAGCATATCCCAGAAAAAAATGTCAATTCTTTCGATAAAACGCTGCTTAATCTGTGGAAGTAAAAAAAAATAGAGTTAATGAGATTTCCTATGTGTCCAGATTTTAGGGATACCCTGTATAACAGGTAGAAAAAACCGCGGCTCACGAGCCACTTACGCCTCTTCTGGCATTAAACCCCATGAATTTTCCAAACAGGTAAACCAGTTCAGAGTACACAAGCTGTGACCAACATAAATGGAGGCACCTAGTGTTTATTTTACAGTCAATGTGTGTGTGTAGGTGCGTGTATAAGAATAACCATGCATTTGTGTGTATGCGTGTGCATGCGTGTGTATGTGTGTGAGTGTGAATATGTATGCGTGCGTGAATATGCGTGAATATATGTGCTTGTATGAGTGAGTGTGTGTATGTGGGCGCTTATGTATATGTGTGTGTGAAATTTAGATCATGGCAGGAACAAGTAACACGCCCAAATGTTCTGGGTTTAATAAATCCAAGCTGCTGGGGTTCTCGTTTTTTTGAGGGTTCACTAAAAATGAGAAGGCCGTCAATAAGTCTATCCTCAAGACTAATAATATCGATAGTGCGTTGACTGTGATATGAGGTCAGGGTTCAATAGGTTAATATGTGGCGCATAAAAAATACAATATGACCTTCATCTAAAGATGATTTCTTAATCTAAATCTTGAAATATATATAGGTAATAATCCGTTGGTATATAATCCAAGTGAATCCTAATCATATAAAATATTAAAACTGGTCCACAGAGCTCAATGTATTTATTATAACAGAGCAAATAAATTACATGCAATAGGAATTTAAAATTACCTCGTTATGATCATTTCACCTTACAAGCAAATCTTAACTTGTAAGGTGAAATGATCATAACTGTGAGATAATTTTAAATTCCTATTACATGTATATATATATATATATATATATATATATATATATATATATATATATATATATATTAATATATATATATATATATATATATATATATATATATATATATATATATACATAAAATAAAAATATTCGAAAAAAAAAACATTTCGTATATATGTTAACTGTTGGTTATTACTGAAATAAATATAAATTAATTGATGACAAAAGGAATGTACACGTGAATAAATGTCGTTGAGTACGTTTATTTACATATATAAAGATTTTATAAGAAACTGTGTATGCAGCAATAAAAATGTCTCTATAAATTCCTGATTTCATAAGAACAAAAATATTTCATTTCAGATGCCGTCTTTAATTTTATTCAGTCAGTTTACTCAGTCAACGTCGAGTTTTTTGTTTTTTTTAATGGCGATCAATGTCTAACCCTAACCCTCTCATCTACGGACACCCACCCTCATCACCGGACTTCGGATGCAACGGATAAAATCTGCAGGCAAATTTTTTTAAAAATCTGCAGGAAAAAAAAATTTTCAAATTGTCAGCGATGTATTCCAATATTTGAGGGGCTTAGCGGAACGAGTCGTATTAGTTCTCAAAGTGACTGCTTGGTGGTGGTGACGGGCCTTTCAATTGTAAACAAAGACAAGTGTACAGTATATAAAGTACGATACATTAGCGAGTGCGTGAGAAAGTAGCTGTGAGAAATCTATTATTTTTTGTTATTTTGATTAACATATCTATATTAAGTATATTTATTTATATATATATATATATATATATATATATATATATATATATATATATATATATATGTTTATAGCATTTACATTATGATCATAACTAATGGTAGTTACTACAGCGGTTTTATAACTCAAACATAACCTCTTTCCATCTACGGACACTGAATTTTAACGACCACCCTCCCCTATTAGTCCGTTGATGAAAAGTTTGTCTGTACTTGTAAAATCTGCCGCAATCAAAAAGATAGGAAATTTGTTTTATAATTTTGGGGTCATAGCTTATTCTGTATCTGTCTATATTTCTGAGATGAGGTCTTATGTACATTATTTACATTATTCGGACTATTGTCCTCATCTTTGTCGCCATATTTGTTACAACGTTTCGGCCGTTGTACGCTCCGGCCTTCTTCAGGTGGTTGGAATGTCGAACTGAACCCTTTATTTAGCTCACTGGGGTAGACTGTTCTTGTTCCACGTGCCATCTTTAATGGTTGCCAGTTGTCAGTTATCTCCTGTTAATTCCACCTCTCCAAGTTCTCCACTGCCTTAATAGGATATTGAACTCACACTCTTTGGGTCCTGTCACTGAATCTAACTAACGCCTTTATCCACTCTGCCATGTGTCCTTGAGGACGTTAGTTAGATCCAGTGACAGGGCCCAAAGAGTGTGAGTTCAATATTCGGTTAAGGCAGTGGAGAACTTTCAGAGGGAAAATTAACAGGAGATAACTGATAACAGACATCCATCAAACATGAAGGCCAGAGCGTACAACGGCCGAAACGTCGTAATAAATATGGTGACAAAGATGAGGACAATAGTCCGAATAATGCAAATAATATAGCTTATTCTAGATTCTTGTAAAAGTATTTTCAATAGAAGAAAATCGAATATTCTGGAAGCTTTGTAGTCCTCGTGTGAAAAGCTGATCTCGTCCTAAAGAAGTTGACCTTGGTTCCTTGTGTCGTAATTTCTTACAATGGCGTAAATAGTTCCTACTGGAACGTCACAAGCCAACATGGTGGGAATTCACACGTATGGGAAAGTATTTCCCCGTTACCATTGACAACCAAAGTACCTACTAATATAACGAGGGAGAAAAGAAAATGGTGAAAAACGATTAGTAAAATTCAATCAGATCTATTTTATTCTTGCTCTTAGGAATATTGCGAACGAATAAGCCAAGCCATAACGTTGACATTCAAGGATAAAAAGCTAAAATAGAATGCAATGAAGGAAGGGAGGAAGGAAGACACAGTTTTAATATTGTGTTGGTCTTTTCAGTGAAATGGGAGGAAGAATTTATTTCTTTGACAGAAAGAACAAAGAATCTACCACTCGCCCTGCTCCTGGACATCATTTCTGGAAAGTGATGGCTGATCTGTAAGCCAAATAATCGACTCTGTGTGTACCAATCTAAATATATATTTCTACGTCCATTTCACGAGATGCATTCATATATTTGATTTCTAATTCTGGTCATCAAAATATACGTATGTGTTCTTTAGAAACGCGAGAAATTTCAGGAAAATCACTAAATTCAACGTTACTTTACACCTGAAAATTAAGAGTTTTTTTTTTATTGGCAATATCAAAGAATTTGATATTTCCACGTTTAGTTTAAACTATGTTTCTTGCTATGGCTATGAACATGTACAATACATCCAGTTCTCTTAAGTGACTAATACACGGATATCTTAATAATTAGGGATTCTGAAATTTTTTCTCAGTATGCAATAAACGGGTTGGTCCGAATAAAAGGGACCGGAAATATTATAGTTTCAAAAACTGTGAAATTAATAAGCGGGTAGTTTCAAGAAACTCATGGATCTTCAAAGATAATTAAATAAAAATAATCTTTTTACTAGGCACCTTAAGAGTATAACACACTAAACAATCTTAGAGTTTCCTATATGCTGAGTGGTGGGGTCATCTTTCTGGGATATATTGTTTTTAATAGTGAAAACCACCTCATCATCATGACAGCTGTGACGTCCATTGTCACATCTACTTTCTTATGTGCTATGTC